GGCTAACTAACTAGAGAAATGACAAGTTAATAAATTTAAATTAGCAATAATAATGTCTAGGAGTATGTTATCAAATTAAATTAATCACAGTAATCAAAATAATAATAATCACTTCTCTCCGTGAGCAGTAATATTGTGCTGAACACATATCACATTTATATGTCTTAGTACCGTCTGGTACTTGTTAACATTTGATAACCTAATACATATATATACAAGTAAGTGTGTGTAAAGTGCCTCTAAGTATTCGCTTGTCTCAAAAACTCGACTGACTTAAACCAGTGTACTGACATCCTCAAGACATAATCTAACTTCTTACCAATGGCAATCAGAACTGCTTGCCTTGAACAATAAAGGACAAAAGCTAACCCAATTGCAATATAACAAGCAACTCGACACAGAATCAGAACAAAGGAGAAAAAATAACACACGTAAGTAGGGACCGTCTGCAGATCCTCCACAAAATCACAAACTCCCATACGACTGAATCTAAAGTTCAGCATAAGAAAATCCCCAACTGTGCAGTACACAGATACCAGTACAAATTAGGTCTAAGCGACAGCTCAGACCTGAGTTGCCTCAAGTGTCTATGCACACACAACCTCAGTAACAGTAATTCACTCGAAAATCACTAAGTCTATAGACAAGCTCTGTGTACAGAGTCCCACAGAACCTACTACACAATTAATGAGACAGAGACGATCTTCCAACAAGGGCCAATAAGGGAGAATTTAGGCACGTCTTGTCTGGAATACGTCCCTACACCAAGCGAGTCTAGAAAACCAGACTTACTACTTCAAGGAAAAATATATATATATAAAAAAAACAAGGTCTGATACACACCCTCCCCCCCTCGATCACACGTGATAGCTTCCGTGGAACAGTTTGCTGCCCAGCAACATAAGAAGCCGGCAGAGTAATGAGCCAACAGCGAGAATTTACAGTAGTTAGAACAATCAAGACTTGAACTATGAGCACATAATAATAATATATAGGAATGTTACATCCTACCATCAAAAGTAACTAAGTCAAAATAATAATATTAAGTAATAATTTAACGATTTACTGTATCGCAAATAAAGCAATAACAGTGGATCCCCGCATACCGTTGCATCACATAACGTTAAATCTGCATACCGATTGCAGTTTTACGCTAAATTTTGCCTCGCATACCACTAAAAACCCGCTCAAACGCTATTCATCCGAGACCGTCTATTGTGCGACTGAGCCAGAGCCGCACATGTTCCGCCGGTGCTTTAGTTACAAGCAGCCTCCCTGGAAAACATCCAACATACAAATCGGAACATTTTCGTATTATTACGTTGTGTTGGTGTTTTAATCTGCACAATAAGTGACCATGGGCCCCCTACAAAAACTTCTAGTGACAACCCTGTGGGAAAAAGGTGAGAAAAATATTATCGAAATACTGTGTAACCATGTCAACTCTGATGCTGCTGCTGCTGCTGCTGTAGCACACCACGCTTGCTGCTGCTGCTGCTGTACCACCGTCAGCTGCTGCTGCTGCTGTAGTACCCGTCTTGCTGCGCTGTAGCACCATCTGCTGCTGCTGTAGCACGGTCAAGCTGCTGCTGCTGCTGTACAACAGCACTCTGCTGCTGCTGGTACCACCGTCAGCTGCTGCTGCTGCTGTAGTACCATATCTTGCTGCTGTAGCACTGTCTGCTGCGCTGTAGCACTGTCAGCTGCTGCGCTGCAGCACTGTCAGCTGCGTCTGCCTGCTGTACACTTGTCAGCTGCTTGCTGCTGTAGCACACCGTCAGCTGCTGCTGCTGCTGTAGTAACCATCAGCTGCTGCTGTAGCACGGCTGCTGCTGCTGTAGAACTGTCAGCTGCTGCTGCTGCTGTACCACGACACTGCTGCTGCTGCTGTATTACCGTCTGCTGCCTGCTGTAGGCACCGTCTGCTGCTGCTGTAAGGCACCTCTCTGCTGCTGTAGCAACGCAAGCGCTGCTGTAGCACTGTCAGCGCTTTCTGCTGCTGCTGTAGCACTGTCCAGCTGCTGATGCTGCTGTGCTTAGCAACATTGCTGGGGTGTACTTATTAAATACCAAAAACAATTAACCCAGAGGGTTAACAACCCAGGATAACCCAAAAAAGTCAGTGTCATCAAAGACCTGTCTAACTTGTTTCCATTGGGTCCTTAATATTGTCTCCCAGGATGCAACTCCTCCAGTCGACTACACCCAGGTGAACAGGGAAAAAAATGCCTGGAACTAGTGCCTCGTATTGGTGAATTTAAAGCTCAGTAGAGGTTGGTTTGAGAGATTTAAAAAATCGTAATGGCATACACAGTGTGATAAGGCCGTTCTGGAAGAAATTGCCAAACAGGACCTACATACTCAGGAGGAAAAGGCACTCCAGACACAGTGTCTCATCAGTCTTTGCTGTCATCTTCAATAAAGGTAGTGGCATTTATTCTCATTATATAGAGTTATTACATGCACAATAGAATTGTGGCATGTACTTCTCTACTATTGTGCATTATCCTTCTCTTGTGAATAGAAAAATGTATATTTCATGTTGGTAAAAAGTGTTTTTCATACTTTTGGTGTCTTGGCACGGATTATTTTGAAATTTTCCTTATTTCTTATGGGGAAAATGCATTCGCATAATGATAATTTTGCATAACAATGAGCTCTCAGGAACGGATTAATATTGTTATGCGGGGGTCCACTGTATAAAATTAGATGAAAAGGTAAGACAGGGGACCCCCCGCTAGCGACCTTAATCCGTGCCAGAGGGCTGGTTGTTATGCAAATGTTCGGTTATCGAATGAATTTTTTTTTTTCCCCATAAAAATAATGGAAATTCAAATTAAGTCCATGCAAGACAACCCAAAAGTATGAAAAAAAAATTTTTACCATCATGAAATATACAGTTTGCGCTACACACAAGAGAAGATACAGGCACACAGTAGAGGAGTACATGCACAATATAATTGTGGCTGGTACTACTCTACTATATGAAGAATAAAGGTACACCTTTATATGAAGATGGCTGAAGCATGACGATAACACTGTGTCCATGGGAGTGGCCGTTTTCCTACCTGAGTACTGTAGGTCAGCGGTTAGGTATATTTTCTTCCGAGAAACATGCCTTATCACACTGGTATGCCACTACGATCTAAATCTCTCAAACCAACCTTGCTGGCTCTAAATTTACACCATAATGAGGGCACTAGTCTTCCAGGCATTTTCCCTGTTGCACCTGGTTAGTCGACTGGGTGTGGTTGCATCCTGGAGACAAGAGAGTAAGACCCCAATGAAAGAAGTTAGACAGTCTTTCGATGACACTGACTTTTTTGGGTTATCTGCTGCGGTGGCAAAGCCTCGGAGGTTAAGTGTTCAAGTGTATTCTCCAATAAAGAGCCAGCATCAACACGGTGGCGTAACAGCAGGGAAGTCAGCAGCTGACGTGTTACAGCATGCAAGCAGATGGATGCTCACAGAAGGCAGCAACAGACGTGCTGACAGGCAGCAGCAGATTGCTACAGCACAGCATACGATGCTACACAGCAGCAGACGATGCTACAGCAGCAGCAGACCGATGCTAGCAGGCAGCACAAGACATGTCTAACACAGGGCAGGCAGACGATGCTACAGCAGGCATCAAGACATGCTACAGGTCAGCAACAACGATGTACAGGGCGAGCACATGTACGATGCTACAAGGCAGGGGGGAGGGCAGAACGATTTGCTACAGCATCAAGACAGACAAATATGCTACATGCAGCAGGCAGTACAGTGCTACAGCAGCAGCAGACAGCTACAAGCAGCAACAGACGATGCTACAGCAAGCAACAGACGATGCGACTGCAGCAGCAGACGATCTACATGTGCGCATGCAGAAAGATGCTACAGGCAGCAGGCATGAACGATGCTTCATGCAGGCAGCGAGGTACGATGCGAGCAGTAAGCAGCAGACGATGCTACAGCTAGGCAGGCAGGACAAGATTACTACAGCACAGCAAGCTGACTGGTGGGTACAGCAGCAGCAGCTGACAGTGGCAGTGCAGGCAGCTGACCGGGGGTAACAGGGCAGGGCAGCCTGTACCACCAATAGTACGATGGTGGATTTAGGGGTTTAGTATACAACCTGCCAGCTCGAGACACCACTCGTGCACTTTTCATACGTGAGTCAGATGATCTTTTTCTTCATCTTCGCCAATAGAATTCCACCCTTATTGCTGTAGGGTTGCACTAGAACGTTCTTGGGCCCAGGTCACTATATTTTTCCAAAAAAATCACCAAAAACACTGTAATAATACGAAATGTTCCGATTGTATGCTTGGATGTTACCGCGGAGGCTGGCTGGTAAACAATGCCACCGGCGGAACATTGAGCGTGCTCAGGCCGCACATTGGAACGACATCTCGACGAAGGGCCGTGAGCGGGTTTTTTGGGCGGTATGCAGGCAAAATTTTTGCGATCAAAGCGTCCGGTATCGATTGTAACGTATGCGATGCGTCCGGTATGCGGGGGTCCACTGTATACATTATATACATTGTGACCCATTTCAGGGGTTGCAACAACTGCGCACACTGAATGTTAGGATGCATTCTATGCTGACAAGGCATCTCAAGCCAATCATGCCAATTTTGAAGGCAGGAAAAATAAAACGTATATATACGTTTAGGGTGCTATGCGTAAGAACGTAAATGTACGTTTGGACTGTTTAAGGGTTAAAATGGTGCACATTCGCTGCATAGACCCATTCTTAAATATTTAGACCCAAATTTTCCACTTACAGCTTATTTGAGTGAACTGAGCTCATCAGTAGTTCTATTGCACTGACCCTCTCCTCGAAACCATAGTACTGTGGCACTGACTGCCACACTACTGCTAATAGGTTAAACTTCTCTTCTTGAAAATTGAGTTGTTTATTTCATGTGAAACTTCAAGTAATCATGTGATTGAGACTATCTAATATACCACTGGAAACTGATTTCACACTACATACTGTACTTATATTCCTGCAGGTCTTAGAGGAGCTATTGCCTTTGCTTTAGCCATCCGCAACACAAGTAGTGATGCACGAAAGTCCATCTTGACCACGACGTCTCTCATCGTCATTGTTACTGTCATATTATGTGGAGGACTCACCACACAAGTCTTGTCTTGGCTTGGAATTCCGTAAGTAAAGTTTGGAAATTGTGTGTTTTTCATACACTTAATGACATTGACCCCACTTCTAAACTTTGTGATGTCACGTAGTGGTTAACCTTTGATCTGTCGCAACCCATTTCTGAAACTGCCATTCTATATGTTAGGATTATTTTGCTGAGTGTTTAACCCTTTGACTGTCGCAACCCCCAATCCTGAGGTGTCTCCTGGTGGCGCAAAAGTTAAAAAAAAAAAAAAAATTGTCTTATGAAATGATAGAGAATCTTTTCCAATTGTAAAGACACCACAAAAACGAAATTTGATGGAAAAGCTATGGAATTATGCTCTCGCGAAGTTAGCGCCCGCTGCGCTGTGTACAAATCGGCGATTTCGCCACTTTGAGCCTATTTTCCGGCTAATTTCATTGTTCCAGTCGCCCAAACGCATAGCGATTTCTTAGAACACCATTTTTTCTATCGATTGAGTACAAGAAACGCCGTTTACAGATTGCAACTACCTTAAAATGTGATCAAATTTTGGGCAATTGGCCCAATTGCACAAAGACCTAAAAAAATATGACAATTTCAAAATAAGTCCATAATGACAATGCAGACATTCCTGGCTCTAAATAACATTTTCTTTGCTCATCAGTCATGTCTCCAGCCCCCTGATAATACTCTTGCTTTCTATTTTGAATTTTTTCAAACTAAACAAATAGAAAGACTTACTATTATGCAGACTACTGCAATTACTGTAATAATTGGATTTAAACATCAACCCATTCATGACTGCATATTAGAATGGCTAGTTGAACTTTATTGGACAATGGGCATCATTTGTTTACTGGAACTTTGGCAAAAATCGAACATTTCCCCTACTTTGAGCTCCCATTTCTAGTTCTTTTTATAGTAAAATCAATCAAAATCACATCTATTTCTATAAATGTTTTCCATTCTATCAAATGAGACCAAGAAACGAGAATACAAACCATTATACTATACGAAAGTTGACCACAAACGTCGGAGTTTTTTTTTTTCTCATTATGCACTGCGTGCCGCCAGGATTTTTTTTTATAGGGGCACACGGACCACACTGACCCATTCTCTCACATGTGGGCCTACCAGCTTTCTCCTGCTTGATTTGAAGCCACTAGAATTTATGAGTATATGTATGTCAAATACGGTACCTCGTAAGACGTATATATATGGCCGCGACAGTCAAAGGGTTAAAGCCTAAAAAATTTTTAGTGATCTTTAACCCCTTCAGGGTCCAAGGCCAAAATCTGAAGTGGTGCTCCAGTGTCCAAGAAATTTAAAAAAAAAAAAAAATTCTTACAGAATTAAAGAGTATATTTTTGTGAAGGTAATAAGACAAAAAAAAAATTTTCTGATCATTACTTACCGAGATACAGCTCCGGGAAGTTGACACAAAATGACCGGGTGGCGGCAACATCAGTGACTTCCGCAAAATCCCATTTATTTATTTTACGTTTTTTATACTTTTTTCTTTTCTTTTCTAATTTTTTTCTTTTTCTAATAACAATTTTGGCCTGTGAGACCAGTATAATGTATATGTAATACAGTGTACACTCATTGTATTCCATGCAATAACAGCACTAATTTGTTTATCATTATACAGTGGACCCCCGCATAGCGAACGCCTTGCATAGCGAACATTCCGCATAGCGAACGCTTTGTCCGCTAAAATTTTGCCCCGCATAGTAACAAAAACCCGCTCACGAACTTCGTTCGAGAGCGTCCAATTGGGCCCTCAGACAGCCTCACATGTGCCGCCCGTCCCATTGTTTACCAAGCTAGCCTCCGCGGTACATTCAGCATACACTTCGAATATTGCGTATATACATTACAGTGTTTTCGGTGGCTTTATCTGGAAAATAAGGTGACCATTGGCCCCAAGAAAGCTTCTAGTGCCAACCCTACACCTCAAAGGTAAGAATACCCAGTGAAATTAAGAAAGAAATCATTGATAAGTATGATAGTGATACGTATCACCGACCTTCAGGTTTGTACAAGAAACCAAAATCAACCATGCTTCTATTGTGGCAAGAAAACGGCAATCAAGGAAGCTGTTGGGCCCAAAGGGTTTACTGTGTTTTCGAAACCAAGATTGCAAGTGATGAAATGGTTGAGAGACTCTTATATTGGTGTGGATAAATGAAAAACAGCTCAGCAGGAGATAGAGGTCTCTCAAGCATCAGATGTGAAAAGGCGAGGAAGTTTGCATGACGATTAATTTAAAAAATGGGCCGGGCAACTGCAGTGATGATGTGAGTGTATTTAATGGCCAGATAGGTTGTTTGATGAGACTTTAAGAAAGTTCTGTATTCTTGGCTTCCAACGATTATGGAAGTGTGTATAAAAAGACGGATAAGCATGGTGAGGCTGTCCAGTATCGGACACAAAGCGGCTGAAAACAATCATTCTGAGTTTATAGCATGAATGTCTAGGATACATAGAAAACGTGGAAGGACAGCACCTGAATAACAGAGTGCGTTTAATAGTGATGAAAACTGGCCTGTTTCTGAGAGAAGAAGATGCCTAAGCAGGACGCTACATTACTCAGAAGAGGAACAAAGGCACTCTGCGAGGACATAAAGCCAATATTATAAAGAGACAGGATAACTTCTTCTACAGGTGCCAATGCGACTGGGATTGCAAAAGTTAAGCTCGTTGTATTCGTGAAGCACATCTGAAACTCCCAGTAGCGATTCAGGCAAAAGAAATGTCCTCAAGGGAGAAATTTGTGTGTGGCTGTGGAGGGGCAAACAGTAAGGAATGGGTCACAAGGGATTTTTCTATAACTGGTATACACCATGCATGGGCTCCCCATGTGAAAGATTACTGACCTAACTGAAAAGAATTAGACCTTAAGTAGCCTCTGGTGTTAGACAATGCCTCTGGTCATCCTACAGACGTGGCCAGCGACTTATGGGGACATACTTCATTAAGGTGAAGTTTTGCCTCCTAATATCACTGCCCTCCTGCTGCCGCATGGACCATGCAGGTCATTCCAACGTCAAGAAACTGTACAGCAAAAGTCTCTGTTTCAAAATTGATGGCGTTGAAAGTGACCACGAGACAATCTGGATTGACTCTATAAGAGTTTTTGGAAGGATCACTTTAAATCCTTCAGTTGTAAGCTAATCCTTATAGGTAAGGCTAGAGGAGGTAATGACGAAGTAGCAATCCGTGAACTCGCTTGGAAGAAACTTGGCGCAGGCAATGGGTAGACAAAACGAGGGATTTTGAAGGTTTTGAGGGCTAACCCTGAGAGGAGTAGTATAGCGCTAGTTGAGGAATCAATATGGGAATTGGGGAAGTCCTTGGGTTGGAGGTTAGGTGGGGGAGATGTGGAAGAGTTGTGGAGGAGGACAACTGAAGAACTAATGCCACTGATGAGTCTTGATAGAATCCAACTGTCAAGAAGGCGAGAGAAGGCCAGACCTGGGAGGAAACTAGGTTCAGGAGGAGGGGAAGAGAAATTGAAGTCAATTGCCTACTTCAAAGATTAAGGAAATGTGTGCAAAATGCTTGAAGGCAAACCTTTTTTGATGAAAATCTCCCTCACACAGCTATTGCAAGCCCGTGCTGTGACTATTACAATGACACTGCTGTGAAACACTTGAGGAAAGTCATAAAGGAACAGAGGGACAGGCCACTATGGACAATATTTGTGGCCGAAAGAATCCAGTGACTCTGAGCTGGTCCTAGTGGCATTAAAAGAAGAAGGAAGTAACCCCAAAAAGGACTTGCTACCTTAAAGAAAAAAAAAAGTCCTAAAGGAAGGGATTCCCCTTCTAACACGAACACTCTCTCTCCCCTCCTCCCATCCCATCAATCATCACCAATCTTCAATAAAAGTAAGTGGCATGTAATTGTGCATGCCTTTTTACAGTTTGTGTGTACTAAAATTAACATTTTTTTGTGGTAAAAAAATTTTTTTCAGACTTTTGGGTGTCTTGCCACGGATTAATTTTATTTCCATTAGTTCTTATGGGAAAAAATTAATTCGCAAGCAACATTCGCATAACACCAGCCCTCTTGATGGATTAAGTTCGCTATCGGGGTCCACTGTATTGCTTACAAAATTTGTTTACAAGGTTTTTTGAACAAAATGATGAAAATAATTAGTGCGGTATTGTGTTGAATACAATGGACCATATAGTATCATATGGTACTAACGGTGCTATAGTGCAATGGTACCATATGGTACAATAACACTGTATGATACAATGGTACCATATGGTAAATGGCACATGAGAGTGGTACCATATGATACAATGGTACCATATGGTAAACAATGGCACCATTTGGTACAATGGTACCATATGATACAACAGTACCATATGGTGAAATGTACCATTAGGGTACCATTTGGTGGGCATAATGTACCTTTAATGGTACCATTTGGTGTAATGGTACCCCATATGATGCAATGGTACCATATGTACATTGTAACCATACATACAATGATACCTAGTTTCATTGTACCATATGTACTGTTGTATTCAACAACAATAAACACATCTAATATTTTCATTTATTTTGTTTCTCTAGTTGTTTACAACAAAAATATGCAAAAATGTTAATATTAAGTAAATGTTCTATATACATTACAAGTGAACAGGAACTTGACGCGTTCCTTGAGGGGGCTACTAAGCACGTTGTCCTCGGAAACTGCGGAGTCAGTAGCTACTATCTGCTTCGCCACTCAGTCTTGGCTGGAGTCTCAGCCACAACACCTATTGACTATATGGACATGGTACATAATGTGACAGGGTACCATATGGTACATTGTAACTATAATGGTAAAGGGTACCAAGCAGTAACAGGAGAACAAATGAGGCAGGGTACCAGATGGAAACAGGGGACCGTATGCACAGGGTAACCATATGTAATAAGGGGGGGGGGGGGGGTGGGGATATGGGGGCAAGTACCAATACTGACAGGACACCAGATGGTACAGTTACAGGATAAACTATGGAAAATAAGTCACCCTGACTTTTTTGG